TATGAATAAAATCAAAATAAAATAAACAAGAAGGGTGGAGACTGTTGCAGAATTTTTCAATATTTATATTCAAATAATATGTCAATCTTTTTTGAGTTGTAATTCTCATTGTGATCAGCCTAATCTCTAAAATTTTGCCCTCTTGGCTATTTTTCCCTTTAGCTGAGAACATGTATAAAATGTATTTCTTCTTTATGGTCCAATTCATTTAAATTTTTGTTGTTACCTCTAAAGATGTGCTTTCAAAATTCTCTGAGTGATTCAAAGTTAGATTTCTTTTTTTTATGTTCTTTTCCATTTTTCTAGAATTCTGATTTGTATTTGGTATACTATACATCGTTTAATACACCACTTAAATTTGATCAGCTATGCAGCTTTTATTGGTTGATGAGGAATTTGAAGTCTGATTTCTGAGTGTGCTCAATGGAACTTTAATTGATGTAGCATATTTGTTTAATAGCATTTCTTAAAATACATATTTTGATAATTTCAATTTTTTACTAGGTTTACAGTTGGAGTTTACCTTTACAAACAGATGAAAGGAACTCCAGAGAAGTTGAAACATTATTGTCCTTGCAGGACTCACACTGAAATTTTCACTAATGCTACTGATTATTTATAATGGCCAAGTTTTAGGAAATATATTAATTTCCATTGTCAAACCTAGATAAGACAGTTATTACTATGTTCAATTGATTAAAAATTTGAGGCATATTGAGAGCATGAAAGGCTTCCTGATGGGAAAAGTCATTGATTATAAAGTTCTTTAATGTGTGTTTTATACATATATTTTACATAATAGAGTTCTTAGCATACTTTAGACCTTGTTATCAAAATAAGCGGAAATTCTTCTTTCCATGTTATTTCAAAAAGAAATAAATAGAAATCTATTTATGGAACTCCGTAGAATTTATGGAATGGCATCATTATACTATGAATTATAAAATCTAGTAGGAATTTATTTTCCAATTTAGAGAGCTGAGCATTAGAAATTAGATTCAATGACTGATGATGTGCAAAGCAAAATATTTTACCTTTTTTTCTTTCAATTGCATCATCTCTCAGTGTGACAAAGAGAAAATAATTTTTCCTAAGAAGACTAAATTTCCTTTAAAAATTAATTTTTGTGTATATTTAACTATCACCTAATTTTCATATATGATTAGTGATAGTATGGTTTCTTTTAAATGTTTCTCAGAGAAATAGAATTGAGGATTTTACCCTCAGCATATACACCTTCCAAGAAGTGTCTTAAAAAGTTGGGCCTCCCCTGTAGCGCAGCGGTTGAGCGCTGGGTTGAGAAGCTGCCTGCAGTCTCTGCAGCACCCGCTTGATCCCCGGCTGCTTCCCGGCCACCGGAGGAGGGTCCCACATGGCGCGCAGACCTCTCCTGCCACCCGCTGCTCCCCTCAGCAGTGTACTTCGGTCCTTCTGCCTGCTCTGCTCCCCGCTCTGGCTCTGGTGAATTCTCTCACCCTCCCGCGCTTCTGACTGTACCCAGTGCATGTATAAATAAATAAATAAATATTTAAAAAAAAAAAAAAGTTGAGGACAAGAAAATAATGCAGATCAAAAAAATCAGAGATTAGATAAAATTTGCATGCAAATGTATATAGATTTATACAGAATTGCCAAAAATGTAAACAATTCACAAGTGAGTCAAAAAACAAATGGGCATTGGGATACATCCATGTGGGAGAGTACTTGAACAATGCAAAAAAGATACAGATGAATATTAAGTGAAAAGTGCTAAAAGTCAGCAGACTGTGTTATGTATACACTTAATGTATACACTTAAATGGTTATCTAAACTATACACAATATACATTAACATATATATGAATACACACTTGTGTATGGGTTCACTTATGTGGCATTTTGAACAAGCAAAATATTCAAGTTATACAAACTAGGGTTGCCAGACAGGTCACTGGGAGAGAGAGGGTAGAATCCTTGAAATACAGCTGATTTCACTCAAGGTAGTAAAACTATTCTAGATGACATTATGAAGTTGGGTATATCACACAAGAATTACTAAAACCAATTGAACATTGCAATACAAAGGTTATTCTAATGTGCAAATTAAAAACAACTTAAATCCAGGATGTTTGATGGGATGTAGGACAATTTAACTATATTACAAATATATGAAACAATCTTATAATGAGAGCAGGTGGAATAGGAACTGACCAAAATAAGCATGTTGCTATAATCTTATTTTTAAAAAATGTATTGCCTTGGGAAAACTGTTGCCTCACATAAATTTGTGATCCTTTGGGAATGGTGTTCTTGGATCTCATATCCCCCTGAGAACTCTTCATAAACTTGAGAGATTTTTCTCTGGGGCACAGAAAACCTAAATAGTCCATGGGTCAAAGATTGATTTCTTTTATATGTGATTGTGGCTAATCTGTACAACATATATTCAATACAAAAAGTATAACTTGTAGGAAGGGAAAATTTAAAGTACAACCTTAAAAAAATATATGAAAAATAACTAAAACCATTTATAACATTGCCATTTATAGGTTTAAAAATAATCATCAATTTTTGGATAGGGTGAGATCTATTCAGAAAGAAATGAAATTGCTGTCCTCTTACTAGACGATGATAAAAGAGTTAAATTTGAACAGAGAAGTTTATATGAAATACCGTGTGACTATAGCTTCTTAAGAAAAGGTATTTGTAAGTATTTTGATACATTAATTAGGATTCAAGAAAGTGAAAAGAACTATGAATGTCTAAAATTTAATGACTACACTTCCTGTTAGATATATTTTAATACACTTTTGTTTTATTTTCACCATTAATATATTAACCGTAATATATGTCATTTCATCTATAGGTCTGACTTCTTATCTTTTTATAATGCAAATTTAAAAAAAAACTGTGATGTGTTTTGGTGATAGTTAGCTTATGTTATTGTTGATATTGGGTAAAGATGTTATTTGACAAGGTAAAATGTGAGGTATGTGTTTTATGTATAAGCATTTCTGTCATTCATTATGCCATTGCAATAACGTGCAAATGAAGAAAAAATTATATAAATATTGTTTCAAAATTATGTGAATCTAAAAGGAATACTGAGGTACTGAGAATAAAATTGTCCTTAGAGATAGCATTAATCTTTTGTTTTTAGAAATACACTATATTGGGGCCTCCCCTGGTGGGCGCAGCGGTTGAGCGCTGGGCTGCAAGGCTGCCCGCAGCCTCTGCAGTGCCGGTTTGATCCCCGTGCAGCCGGGGAGGGTCCTACATGGAGCGATAGACCTCTCCTGCCGTGCCCACTGCTCCCCTCAGCAGTGTATTTCATCAGTCTGCCTGTTTTGTTCCCTGCTCTGGCTCTGGTGAATTCTCTCACCCTCCTGCGCTTCTGACTGTACCCAGTGCTTGTATAAATAAATAAATAAATCTTTAAAAAGAAAAAAAAAAATACACTATAATGTGTTCTATAATTATTAATAGAGAAAGTTGTAGTTTAATGAGGACAACTTTGGAAAAATCACTCCTTTAGGCTTAATCCTGCCATCTAATTTGCTAACTGTGCAAATCTGATCAACTATCTGATTTGATATGAGCCTGGTGTTGAGACAGTTATCTACCATTAATGTTTGTTTATTTAATTGCCTGTTAGCTGAACATTTGAATATTCTGATGCTGGCAAAATACATGTCTCTGACAATATTATGAACACTATCTGTGATTTATTAAAAGTTGAAATTTACCAAACACTCCTCATCTGTTTTAAGCCATGCTGATATCAAAATTGTTCATCTTTTCAGTCTGTGTTTTAGACAAAGAATGAATTGGTAAATGTAAAGAACAGAAGTAGATGGAGAGAAATTTCATTATTTTCTTATAGTTTTTATTCTCTAAATTTTATTTACTATATTACACATTTTACCTTCACAACCCAGTGCTCAACCGCTGTGCCACCGGGGAGGCCCAATTTATATATTTTGATTTTTACATTTCACTTACTAATTTATATATTCTGAATTTTAATTTTTACTAATTAACATACCTTTCATATTTTTTAACCTTTTCCCCCCTCAAACTCACTATCCTATATCTAAAAATCCCTCCTTACTTCTCTAGTATTCCATAAAACCTTGACTTTCTCTCTTGTTTATATTTCTGTATTCATAAGATGTTATTAATCCATATTTATATATTCAGATATGCTTCTGTACTCTTTTATCTCAAACTTTCATTTTCATTTTCAATTTTCAGAAAACTCATCTGCATGGAAATCTGTGGTTTCTTTGTTATACGAGTGGAAATTATCATGCTGTCCTTGTGGATTTTGAATTAAGATACACTGCATGAAGAACAGAGGTGATAACAGAGCTTGAATGGATGGAACTACTTATAAGGAAAGAAAATACAATTATTTCTGATGCCTCCTATTTATTAGGAAATTGGATCTCATTAGCCATGAAAGACCTTAACACCAGTATCAAGCATTTGAGTTTGATTATTTGAGTAAAATGGTAAAGTCTAAGTAGACTGTTTATTGATCATGGCTACTTTTATGTGTGGGTGGGATGCATGTTTATTTTAACAATGGCCTGATGTACTTGGTATGACAACTATAATTTAGATTCTGGAATGCCAATTTACTTTATTAAATAGGAAATGGTATACCATCTCAACTCTACATTTAATCAAGAGGAAAAAATATGTTTCCATGATTTAAATATCACTATATTCTCTTTAATTGTTATATAATAACAATATCATTTATAGGCTATTCTGTTGTAGAATTGTTAAAAAAATGAACAAGATAGAATTCTCTGTTCTGTTAGCTTGAAAATGCAAACTATAGTTCTTCCTATCATAATCATCTTTAAACTATGAATGAACATGATTACTCATCTTATTACTATATCTGAAATGTCAACTTGATAACTTTACCTTAAACACTATTTAGCACTGCTCTTTTCCCATTGGGATCGTTTAGTTTTTCTATTTAGACCTGGAAAAAGTAGAAAACAATAATGGGAAACAATACAAGAGTGACAGTGTTTATCCTAGCTGGTCTGACTGATGACCCACAAATGAAAGTTATATTATTCATCTTCCTGCTTCTCACCTACTTGCTAAGCATCACTGGCAACCTCGTCATCATTACACTCACCCTGGTGGACATTCACCTCAAGACACCCATGTACTTTTTCCTTAGGAATTTTTCCTTCTTAGAAGTTTCCTATACTACTGCCTGCATCCCTAAGTTGCTGGTTACTATGGCAACTGGGGACAAAACCATTTCCTATAATTGTTGTGTAACTCAAGTGTTTTTTGTCTTTCTCCTTGGAGCATCTGAATTTTACTTGCTGGCTGCCATGTCCTATGACCGCTACGTGGCCATCTGTAAGCCCCTGCACTATACCACCATCATGAGCAATAAAATCTGCACAATGCTTGTGTTCTGTTCTTGGCTGTCTGGATTCTTCACCATCTTTGTACCTCTACTTTTAGGCTTACAACTTGATTTCTGTGCCACTAACATTATTGATCATTTCTACTGTGACACAACTCCTCTCATGCAGATTTCCTGCTCGGACACACATCTGATAGAGACAGTGGGGTTTATTTCTGCTGCAGTGACACTCTTGGTCACGTTGGTCATGATGATAATATCATATACCTATATTGCATTAACAATTCTAAAGTTTCCTTCCGCTAGTCAAAAGAAAAAAGCTTTTTCAACATGTTCTTCTCACATGATTGTTATATCTCTCTCATATGGCAGCTGCATCTTCATGTATGTGAAACCATCAGTCAAACAAAGAATATCTTTTTCCAAGGGAGTTGCAGTGCTCAATACCTCTGTTGCTCCACTTTTGAATCCTTTCATCTACACCTTACGGAACCAACAAGTGAAAACAGCCTTTGTGAATATGATACAGAAGTTGGGCTCTTTCTCAAAAAGATGATATCATCACATTATGTAGGAATAAAACTAGTGTATCCTGTACTGGCCATTTTGCTTCAAAGAAGTGAATTTTCTTTACAGTCTTCAAAAGAGATTTTTTTTTCTCATCTCACATCCTTTTGCTCTGATTATATGAATGAAATTAAGCTAAGTTTTTCAATTTGTCTTTTTGTCTTCAATTCTACTAAATTAAGAATGTATGATTTTTTTCTTGGAAATCATATTTAACACACATGTAATGTAAAAGTTATTACCATCCTTTTGTACCAATTTAGAAACTACTTAAAACTAATAATCATTATATTTTTGTTATACTACTAATTTACTAGTGAATATGTTATGTAATAAAATGGAAGGAAATTTCAGCAGAGATTAACCATTTGTTCAAATTATAAAATATTTGCATATCGATAAAATGATGTTAAAGCATAATCTATGGAAGCTGGTTGTTAATAGTGATACATATTTCATTTGCAGATGAACAATGTATTGCTTAATGTTTCTTTTAAAAATTAGTAGTGAAACAAAATATTTATATGGTTTTCCATACTCCAATGTCCTTCAATAACTAAGACATACTTTAGATAGATAGATAGATAGATAGATAGATAGATAGATAGATAGATAGATAGATAGATATGGATGGTTTTCAAATGATTTGAAATGTACATCATTATCTGGAATGTCAGGACTCAAATCACTTTCTCTTTCATGACAAAAACTGAAAAATATTACAAGTAATTAAAATGTTTTTAAAGATACTTATATTTCATGATTTCTTTTCCAGAAATGTGAGTGTATTATTTTGACTGAGACTTCATTTGATGAAAATGCATTTGAAAAATACTAAAAGCAGAATAAAATATAACTAGGGAGAAAAATACCTCTAGTATATAATTGGCTGGACTTAGTACAAGGTTTTTTTTGCTATATTTCTTTGTTATATGTTACTAAACAGGATCTTAAAAGATACATGAGTGATGAATAAGATACCAAGTCTAGTGTTTATTTAAATGATTGATTTCAGGGCCTCCCCGGTGGCACAGTGGTTGAGCGCTGGGTTGCGAAGCTGCCTGCAGCCTCTGCAGCACCAGTTCGATCCCCGGCTGCTCCCCGGCCACTGGGGAGGGTCCCACATGGCGCTCAGACCTCTCCTGCCGCCCGCTGCTCCCCTCAGCAGTGTACTTCGATCCTTCTGCCTGCTCTGCTCCCCGCTCTGGCTCTGGTGAATTCTCTCACCCTCCTGCGCTTCTGACTGTACCCAGTGCATGTATAAATAAATAAATCTATCTTTAAAAAAAAAACACATGCTAATAAAAATAAATAAATAAATGACTGATTTCATTTTCCTTTGACCATTTATATACATACATGTATACAGTATATGTGTACACATATATGCATATACATATGCTTTTTCATATATAGTACATGTAAATTATATATCTTATACTTCTATATATATTGTTTTTATATATAAATTATATGTATATAGATAAATATTCATTTTTTCCACTCTTGACCCTTCATTCTTGACACTTCACTGACCCTCATAAACTGCTATTCATTTAGGTCTCATGATATTATTTTAGTGAAATAGTGACATGATCAGAATTAGGTTTTAGGAAACATAATTTTATCTTCTCTACAGAAAATGGGTTGAATAGGTGAAGGAGGCAGAGTGAGTTGAAAAGTATACAGCTGCTAATATGGAGGCCAAGTGGAAGGCCGTGGGGGATTGACCTAAAATGGTGGCAATGACAGCAGACGCCAGTCTCTTAATCAGAAAACATTTCCTGCCAATGCGCATCTAGAGAGCCCCAGCATTTTCACATGCTGCTGTGTCTCTATATTATTCTTATCAATGGATAATGAATAGAAGTTGTGAAAATCCCCTGCACGCCCAGCAGTGAAAAACTCCCCTGTGATCCACTACTCTCCCCCTTCTTCAGCTGTTGCCTGAGTGTGGCCTAAAGTGGAAGATCCTTCCTCAGCTTGAATGATTTCAGAAAAATCATTTGATTTTTGAAGGTTTTGAAAACCCCCTGAATGACTTCATCCCACTCTCCAAATACACATACAAACAAACAACACTGACCTTTAGGGCTACATATTTTAACATAAACTTTTAAGAAAATAACCATTTCTATTGTGCAAATAGGCAGACCTGATCTATTGGAATTAAGAGCAATAGTTAGCCTTGAAGGGATAGTGAGCAGAGGTGAAAGGAGTGATGATTTTGGAGGATGGGGAACTGTGTCCTCGTCTGAGTGCTGCTGCTCACTTGGGGATGCACAGCTATCAAAAGTGGCCAAGCTCTAGACACGTGGTGATGTCTGTTCAGTGTGTGCTTTATGCTTCAATAAAATATTTTTAAATGTCTCTTGTGTAATGACTATAAAGCTCATGTGTAATACCATCTACTCTTAATTTAAGTGCTTAGCAATGAAATGTAGAATTGCAAGTGGATATGAAATGCAATTTTATGTAGAATCAAATTTTCCTACAGATTGGATCTGGAAAATTAGAGAGCAGGTACAAATATTTGATTCTCATTTGTTATATTGAAGAACTCACTTTACTTCAAATCAAAACTCTATAAATCTGATCTGACATGTATGACTTATCAATTAACATTTTCTTTATCAATGATGACATATTTCTTTGAGACTCTAACTTTGCAACTCAAGATGGACCTCAGAGGCTTAAAAATGCATATGCAATATGCACCCCTTATTGAATCAATCTGCATTCAGAATTTTAGCAATTAGCTTAAGAAGTTAGGCTAGGATGATTAATTTTACTTTTCAAAAATGTATGTTTCTCATGGAGATGTAAGTTGACTTACATTTCCTTAACAGGCCCTATGGCTGACAACATATAGCTGTCTCAGGAATTTTTTTGTCTTGCTTTTAAACATGAACTTATGGAATACAGTTTTTTTCATTTACAAAATTTTCATATATTTATGGCATCTTGAACAATGGTCTCCAAGGTAAAGCATCTTCCTTTTTAAATTTTTAATCAGTTAATTCTCTTGAGAGAAGGTACAGAGTATATAAAAGGGATTATGTTGCTACTTGTAATCATAAAACTAAACACCAAGCAACTGGGCTTCTCACAAAGAACAGAAACATCTCAAAATAGAGAATGAGTCTGAAATCTTAGCTTTTTGCCTCTCCTTTCTTAACTTAAAAAAAAAGACATATATTAATTTTATACATAATCCAGAAAATGACTTAATTTAAATATAACAAGTTGGAGAGCATTGTTTTAAAAAGATGAGAAGGAATGGAAACTAGGTAAGTTTCTCATCATGATAAAAATCTTTGAGTTTACATCCTGAATGTTTTACTAGAATTCATGTATTCCTGCATGAGAATGCAATAAAAAATAAGGGCTAAAGCAAAATTTTTAAATGTTGGAGAAGCAACCTTCAGAAGTAGCTTCTGTTTTGGGATTCACATCAAAAGCAGAGTTAGAAATAAAATTGCTGCTAAAAACATTAAAGTCTGGAAAAAATGTTTTTATTTTAATCACAATATCTCTATTAAAACTGATTTTTATGTTACGCCATTGATATGACATGAGGTTGGAATTTTTTTTAACAAAGGCAATACTAAGTTGACTATTTTGAAAGTTATACTGAAGGAACTGATTGTATCTTACAAAAAAAAAAAAATCTTTGAACGCTTCATTTAGTAGGAACCAAGTTTTGAATAATTCTCCTTCCTTCATATCTCAAGCAGAATCTCAGGAATGCCCTTTATAAAATGAATGGCTTGTGTTCTTCAGATAATCATATATATAGTAGCATGTGACTTTAACATATATGAACATTGTCAGTATTGGGAATAATCACACTGGAACAGCAAATTATTCCTGAACTGGAAACATTGTTCTTTATCTTTATCAAGCATTCATACTGAATTCAGTAGAATTTAAACCTGTCATGAAGTAGTCGACTTCCATATCCTAAAGGAATCTCTTATCTCTTACCTAAGCTCTAAATTGCAAAAGCAGTTACAGAAACTCTTGGGACTCTAGGGCTGGCTGGAAACAATGATTGTTTTTCTTTCATTCAGCAAGGAATTTATTGTGAAATTACAAAGAAAGATAATGTTATCAAGTTGTTTGCAATAGTATTTTTATTTCTGTGTTATGATTTCAAAAGCTAATTTTAGACCAGAAACTACCCATCTATTAATCAATCTGCCTCTGGCTTTATTCTCAGGCACGCTATATAGCTCATTTTGTTGGCTGATATTTTCCTGTGCTTTCACCTTTAAAACAGACTAAATTTGAATCTAAAAGCTCTTACTAATGAGTATTCATTTTACTTAAATGTCCAAAATATAGATTTTTTTTAAATGGTCAACTGAAGAGATAAGAGAAAAAATAAATGTATGGACAAAATGAAATAAAACAGGAAGGAGATTTTTGTTGTATTGAAATTATTTACAGTCATTGAAAATATTTGTACATTATTTTAACAGCAGAACTGGGGTATATGAAGTGCAGTAAGTTAAAATACATTTAACCTGCAACAATATTCTTCTTAAGGAAAATATTGTACTGTAAAAATTTTGGTGATAGATTTTTGAGGTCACCAATGTGAGGACATAGGCATGGTCTGAAAGAAGATAGAAAAAATGACAAGTTTAGCAGAGTTTTGAACTGGTATTTGTGTGCACCAAAAAGAAAAAAGATTGGATATGAAGACTCTACTGTGTCAAGAGGGGCAAATCTGCAGAGAAAAGACCTACTGCAAACTATTTTTAAAATAGCTTGTTTTCTAGAATCATCTGTCACTGCAATTATCAGGAAAACATGCTACATAATAATACAAATGTCACACCTGTTATATCTTCTTGGGTGTATATCAGAGAAAAGACATCAAAGAGGATCAGAGAAGGAAGTAAAATTGTCATCATGATAAGTGGAGTAAGCAAAACTAAGCATCAGGAGGATTTAAATGTCAAAATTTACAGAATTTGGGGG